ATTACAATATCCTATTTATATCTCTAACACACCACTTACCATATTGTTTCATAATATGGATTTTTGTGCCTAACCCTCTGAGTACAATGTGTTGAAGGTAGGAAGTCTATCTTGTTTATTTTTGCATTACTACTGTTTAGCTCAAGAACTGGACTCAAAAAACACATTTTGGATGATTAAGTAAAAGAATAAACAAGGTCAAGGCAAATGGACCAGAGTACATGGGAAAGACTTGGAAGAATATTTAGAAGGTAAACAGGAATTGGTAACTAGCTGGTTGGAAGTTGTTGGGGAGCTGGAGAAAGATAACGAGGAGTCAAGGATGACCTGAGTTTGTAAATGACAGAGCAACCGAGTAAGTTCAGGAGTACTAGGGAAGGAGAGAGCTGAACGGGAATATTCATTCTCAATCTGGGAACACATTGAGTTGGAGATGCTTATGAGACCTACAAAATGTTCTCTCAGTTCATTTTACTTACAAACATAAGAGCAGGTAGCTTGGAAGAGGAAGAAACAATGACCTGGCATCTGAGCCCGCCCAGTATCATAGTTGGCTGCAAAGACAAGCCAAAGGTTGCTAAACTCACAGGAAATGGGGACTTTGAAAGACAGCATACAGATTGGTTGTTTTTAAATTTTTTTTGTCCCTTTTAGAAAAGGTTTATTTATTTGTTTACTTCTAGTGCAATGCTCACGTAGACGCTTCACAATTAGTTGAATTAAAGTGGCGTTACTAATTTATTAAAAATAGCCATGCTGATAGTTAAATTCTGGGATCTGCTATATAAGATAATTACATTTGGATTGGTTTTTTTTTTTTCCCCTTGAAAAGGCATTACTTCAGTTTTTTAGATAGGTGAATTCAAAGGGTTTTTCCTTATTGTGTTTGTGATAAACTTTGAAAGTAAGTCAAAAAGAGAAAATGTTTAGGCCCAAAGTACAGAAGGAAAACATTTCTAGGCCAGATAAGCTTCTGCTAATTTAATTAAGATTAAGTAATAACAGGAAATCATCTCTGACAAAGAACTGAGAATCTCTTCTTTCCAAGGTGCCAGAATCAAAGGAAATCTGTTGCTATTAGAGCTGAGTGGTGATGCCAGAGGATCTTTGTGTTTTGTTATGTTTTGTTTTTGACTGAGTCAAAGGCTACAGCTACATCGGCCCGAAAACAGAGATATCATATAAGGTCTGTACAGCCGGTCAGACTACCTGATAATCACATAACAACTGGCTGCGGATTTGCCCCTTCTGTAGCCAGGTTTAGGCTGGTAATATTTTTGCATCCTTTCCAGGTTTTAGCTCATTCACAGTAGATGTTTGCCACACAACTAAAGGCACCATCCAAAACCACCGTTGGGCAAGAGCTACCTGGATCCTGTTTGTTGTCCTGCATAAACACCAGGAAAACAAAATTCCATTTCTCCCCATAAAGAGAAACACCTGCTTCTCTAATCAGTAGGAACATTTTAGTCAAAATTGATGCATACCAGTTGGGAAGTTGTTTATAGACTCACGATGGCAACATGTCCTCTCTCAGTGCCTTGACAGATGAAAGAGACACCTCAAGACCTTTAATCTCACCTAGGGCAGCCAGAGCCCACTGGAGCAGGTTTGTTATGTCTATGATAGAATTCTCACCGCAAATCAAAGAGGACGCATCAAGATCTCACACTGATGATTATAACAGTCCTTCTCAGGTATCTGTGAATCTACTGTGAGAATGGTGTAAATGAACACCAAAAGATACAAGGCTCCCAAACCCAAATTCTTATTGCTCTAGTACAGTAGGTCTTAGTTCTTGCTTTTACGGTCTGACAAATTCCTTTGCCAGTTCATAAGTCGAGCACAGAGGAAAATGGTTATTATTGACGAATTTCTGCCCTTTAATATGTTTTGCTTGGGACTAACAACCTATGTTTTCCTGGCTTGTTATATTCATCATCAAATCATTCTTTGCAAAAAGGTTTGGAGTTTCTTGATTGCTTACAATAAGCGAACAGTGATTGAAAATGTTGGGTGATGGTTTAGAAAGATTATCAAACATCAGTGTCAGTGCTGGAAACCTCCTGAGGTACAAGTGGTACAAACTGTTCAAGAATTAAGCAACAGTTGTGCCTAAGTGATGAATGGGTTTAGAGACTTTGTGATGAAGGGAGTCAGTTAAGAAAGATGATCTTATCAGTTCTGTGTTGTAACTGGAGAGGCAAATGCTCCCAGAAGTATTTCAGCTCAAACATGAAAACTTCAAAATGGATAACACTGCTCCAGAATCAACAGATAATTTGGGGGATACCTGTATAGCTTGCCATTAAGATGGCACACGTTAGAAATAGGGTTTAATAAAAAACAATGTGTTCATAATAATTGTGCACAAAAAGTTATAAAATCCAATAAGTGAAATAATTTTACCTGACATGCTTAAATCATGATTATGCAAATTAAGGATGGTTTCTATTAGTAATGATTATAAGCCAATCTTCCAGTTCTGATGGTTAAAAGAGTATTTACTGTAGTTCTCAAATACCATGACTTTTACTGACAACTGGTTGATCCTGTGGCAGAAGATACATGCAATGCCGTCATGTGGGAAGGGCAACTTCTGTTTTTAATTGGAGCCATGTGGAAAATCATTGGCAGATTTCTCTTTTTTCAGACTTTCAGAGCACTAAAGCTGAAAAATGAAAAATACACCCTTCCCCAAAATACTAACTGAAGATACATTCTGTAAAAATGAATAAATAAACCTTTTCTAAAAGAGGCAAAAAAAAAATCCAACCTGTATGCTGTCTTGCAAAGTCCTCATTTTCTGTGAGTTTAGCGATCTTTGGCTTGTTTTTGCAGCCAACTACGATACTGGGCTGGCTCCAATGCAAGTTCATTGTTTCTTCCTCTTCCAAGCTACCTGCTCTTGTTCTAAGTCTTGACCTTTTGCAAGTCGGAGAGGCACTGGGAGGGTATTATCTTATGTAAGAGGTAAGGAGATACACAGTATCCTACGGCATAAAGTCTGTTCTGCAACAGCATGGCCAAGCTTCAAGTTGCTAAATCAAAACTCAAAATGCCATACTTCCGACTCACTTCTCTGAGATGCAGTTCTGTTTGTCACACACAAATATAATGGGAATCCATTAGCAGAACATACAGAAGAACCAATGCAGCATGAATGACTTTTATATTATAAAAATCTGAGGACCAAGATGGATTCTCATACTTACCATGGGGCTGACAGCAGGGTTAGAAAAAACCTTTAGTTGTCTCCTCACTAGTCAACCCACTAATAAATGTAGTCTGGTTTACAAAGGGGGCCACACAAGAAAGAATGAATAGATATGACAGGATGATCAAATGAGACATTTTCCAACCCAGTTTTGGCCAAAGCTCCTGAGATCTAGAGCCAACAACAGAAGCCGAGTAAACTCACATTCTAAAAAGCAATGTAAGGGTGATGTATGCAAAACCTGCAAAAGTGTGGACAAAATCCAGTTTAGCAAACTCTTGTCTGATTGAAAGTTAGGAAAAAGAGAATAAGAAAGAGAAAGAATTTCCATAAAGGAAGTTCTTCCAATTCTTTGTGGTCTTCCTTGATCATGGGCAGTTGCTTTATCTTTGTTTTAAGTCAAGTGGGAAGGGCCTTCAAGAGACCAGCTTTAAGAGATGGACAAGTGTCCTCTGGGGGTTGGGGAGCAATGGAGCTGCTGTGTGTCACTGTGGCTATAGGTCGGCTTTAAGGTGGCAGAGAGAGTGAGAGAACAAGAGTGAGAGTGGGAGTTAGAGAGACAGGGCTGCACTGGGAGCTAACTGTATTTGCAGCAACAGCAGAGCAAGGATGCATGAGTGTTTCTTGTGGACCAAATGTGGGCAGCTGAGTATAGGAAGCCCAGTGCCATGTTGAATATTTTCCGAGAGGATGCTTGGGGAAGCAACACGACTCCCAACAGAGGGCTGGACAACTGGAAGCCCAGGGGCCAAGGAAAGAAGGCAGCTATAAGAGAGGTATTGCCTGTGTCAGAGAAGCTATGATCAGAGGGTCCCAGTGAGGGGTTTCCTCAAGGAAGTCCACAAGAGCATCCTAAAAAGAAAGAATTAGCAAGCTACACCCAGAAAGCACATTGATGGGCTGTACTTATGCCACTCAAGTAAGACTTGTTGTCCTACCCTGAGCAGATGGCCAGCAAAGCAAGATGGGGGAGTAGGAAAGAAGCCTCCTGCCTTCTCTCTCCCACTCTGGGCTTTTGAGACTGAGGCAAGTCTGAGCTAGGGGGAGGAAATAACTTCATGTGGCTACAACACAGACCTGGCAATTTTAGTGCTTAACTGAGATTCTTCTTATGCCTGAAAGTGATTAGAGTCCTATTCTTATCTGAAAGTGGTTTTAAAATGATGGGGCCTACCCGCAGATTCTACTCCAGTGTAGGGAGGAAATAATCCACAGAGCTGATAAGACAGCAGGGAAAGGGGAAAAAAAAGTATTTTTGGTTATCACCTTATCAGCTAAGACTATTCAATTACTGGCTACAAATAAAATCACTTCCACCAGTAGGAAGGGGAAAACTATTCAAAACACAGGCCTTCCTGTGAACACATTGGATAAACCAGTGGAGGGAGGTCATTCATCAGTTTAGCACATTCAGCTTTTCGACTGTTAAGCTGCCTCCACTAAAGACACGTGCCACTGTCTTTGGACACAATTTCTGATGGGGAGGCTTAGAGTCTATTAGAAAAGACAGATGCTCTCCAGGTTGCCCTCCTCCTGCTTGTGTTGACCAGTGATTCTAGTTTTCCAATGTCTTCATAAACATAATTTATTTTAACACTTCGATTTTGTAGAGACTTGAGTTGTGACTGCTACTTGCTTTGGCTGAGTGGCAATGAATATGTCGTTTAATCTCCGCTGGACGTAGTTTTTAAATCCAAATAAGACTGGCAATGCAATCAAAGATACAATGAGGAATTTAAAAAAAAAATCAAAAGCTACAAAAATCAATGGCCAGCATCGGTACCTCATGGAAATGACATCCACATGCCCCCTGCAGAAACTCCTTGTGTCGCCCCATCGTTATGGTGAACGTGTCAACCACTTCATAGCCATATTTTTTTGCAGCATCCAGAATAACCAAATTTTCTTTCCATAAATTCTGAACTTCACTCTGTGTTGTAAAGGAGAATGAGATTTTTATTAAGAGGATTGTTTCATGATTTAATCACTCGTGTAAAATCATGTATATGTCATTTTTTTTGCAGATTGGTTTCAATTGTGAGGTAAAGAATTAATTTCCCAAGCATTTCTTAAATAAAGATGTGATCTAATTTTTTTCAAAATATAAATATAAACATTTATGAATACATAAAACAGCCTTACATCAGTATTTATAGTGACACACAGTTTGGAACGTTCTTGTCTATGAAAAGTAGTTAGGTTTATTGGCCACAAAGAAACCTTGGAAGTATCTAAAATTCTCAATTTAAAGCCAAGACTAAGAATCACAAATTCTGTCTCCATCTATTTGAACTCTTAATCATTTAGTCATTTGAATATTAATTAGTATCTATTTTGTGCTTACCTCTGCACTGAGGGACAATGGGAAAATAAGGAAAAATTGATCATGATACCTGCTCTTCAGACATTGCATTCAAATAGGAGAAACAGATATGTGAACATTTACTAAGTCCTTAATTGGAGGTAAATATTCCAGGCTGTGAGCCAGGAGAGAAAAGGGAATAGTTCTGCAGGGGCAGGGGGACGGCTGGACAGGGAGATTTCTAGAGGGGGTTCCTGGGCGGAGTGAAGGTTGCTGGTTGGATGGGGCTGGGGAACAGATGGGGAGTGTGCATCCAGGAGCCCCGGAATTGAGCGAAGGCTCCAGCTGCTGCTTCTCTAAATCATATTCCTCCCTCCCTCCCCAGCCATGTCTGAGGCAATGATGGAGCTCGGCGAGAGTGCAGGTCCACTGCCGAGAAGAGGGACTCCTCCACTAACTTACTCTGACTCCAGGATTCATCATTGGCTTGGCCAAGACTTTCTCAGACCGACCTGTGGTCTGAGACTCTTCCTATCTAGTCCATCCTTCTTCCACTCCCTTCATATCAGACACATTACAGCTAAACACAGTCCCCAACACACAGCAGACACACACAAAAATATCTGGTGCTAGACTGAGTGATATGCATTGGGCGTCGTGGTCTGAAACACCTCCTGCCTGCTCCCGCATCCTTTCCTTGATTCTCAGGCATTCTTTCTAATAAATTCCCTAAAAGTAACCTTGTCGTGGTGTTTGTCTCTTTGAGAACCCAAATGGACACAGGGAGGGAACTGCATGCCCCTTTCCTTTTCCAAAGAGCAAAAAAAAAATTCTGTTTTCATAATCCAGGTAAAAAAGTAAATAATCACTTGCATTTAAAAATCCAGCTTCCAGGTAAAAGAAGCAGTACCATGGCACCTAACTTTCTGTCTTCCCCACTGTGCTTGCACACCTATTTTTATGTGACATGCAAAGAGTGTTTTCCCCCCAAACATAGTAGTGAATAGAAAAGGCTCGTAAGGAGAAACCTGAAGGAAAGAGAGAGATGGGACTTCAGTCTGTGCCAGCACCTGGGAAGTGATGCTCCAGGGGCTCAAGATTGTAGGCTTTTTCTTGTCCAGTTGCAAGTACCCTCTCAACTTTAAAGGGTCCAATTATAAAAGATAGAAGAAACTTTCCAGTAGGTGGTTGCTAGAGAAAGGTCAGTTCTCTGGGAAACAGACTCTGAACCAGAAGTTTGCATTCAACGGGGGAACAGAAGTGCACCCTTGGGATCAACACCTGCACGGGAGTGAGGGAAGATGCACTGGGCAGAGAGAGACGTTGCACCGCAGCGTCCTTGCAACACAGGCTTCTGCTGATCCCACCAGGAGTGTTAGAGCTGGGATGGCCCTTCTGAGACGGGATAAATGAACGCAAGGGGGCTGAGACTTGGCTGGGTGTCTGCAGCCCAGGGCAGCTCCTACTGGGACTCAGGTCACAACCGCAGCAGCCCAGGGGAATGAGTATCTCAGTCGCGAAGGGGCGATCTGGGAGCATCCAAATCCTGCAAAATAGCCCTCACTCATTCATGCATGAGGTGTTTTTTGAGAGTCTTCTGTGTGCTGAGAATTGTGTTTTGCATTTGGGGTCCCAGAGTGAGCAGTGCACACCTCCCTCCCCGTGCCGCTCTCACGGGGATTAGTCCAGCAGGGGACACAGACAGCCAGGGACTGAACCTGCCAAGTGACGTGAACGGGGACCCCAGACACTGTTTCAGGAGCTCTTGGCAGAAGTAGCCAACTGAGTCCAGGGTGTCAATTAAGTCTTCCCAGAAGAAACTGCATTTGAACTAACACTTGAAAGGTGCCTTGAGGTCACCCAGGTGGTGGGAATGTGGGCTCCAAGAAGAGGGAACAGTGACTTCAAAGACCTGGAGGTGACAGAGCATGGCACGCTCAGTGGTGGAGCGAGTGAGTGTGTGTGTGCACGTGTGGGTGTGTGTGCACGTGTGTATATGCATTGGAACAAGTCTACCGAGGAAGGCAGAGGTCACGTCTTGAATGGCTGCAATGAGGGTGATGGTGAGTTCAGATTTCTTTTCTGCCTCCACTTGCTATTCCCCCTTTCTCTTCTGTTTTGGGAGCCGGGTGGGGGAGGGTAATTAGGTTTATTTATTTATCTTAATGGAGGTACTGGGGATTGAACCCAGGACCTCGTGCATGCTGAGCACATGCTCTACCACTGAGCTCTACCCTCCCCCTTCCCCCTTTCTCTTCTGTTCTGTCGTTCTCCCTCCTCTCCCTCCCTCCTTTGGTCTTCACCCAGTCTGAAAAGACCGATGAGCACTGTCCGAGCCCTGGTGGCAGGCACAGTGGTGAACAGTAGCCGGAGAACCGTCTGCTGAGATGAATTCATTCTAAATAGAAGCAGACCTCTCAAGCCCTCCGGCTCCCGTGAGACGCTACAATCACGGAAGTAAACTGGAGCTGCCAGCTGCTCAAGGAGGAGTTGCAATCTTGACCTGCAGCCTTCGAATGCGATTACAGGACATTCAACTCGTATCCTACAGAAAAGGTGAACAAAAGACCCCTCTTCTAATCCTCAACCGTCTCAAACCCTCAAACCCTCCGACTACCCCAGCTGCTGAACACTTCACCTCACTTTAGATGAATGTAACCCCTTCCGACACCCAGAGGCTGAATTCGGAAGTTTTCCTTGGGGCACTTTCTACCAGTTCTCCTGCTTTTGCATCACAGATCTGGTGGCCAGGCAGGCGAAGTTTTGGGATGGGAGAGGAGGTCCCTGTAATCCGTGCTGGAGAAAGCCAGGAGCGCTCAGAATTGACACAGAAATAAATCTCCCTGGTTTACATATTAAACGGACAGCATCGTGTCTCCCTGATTCCCAGTGCAACCTGAGCTCCCCTCAAGCGATCACACACAGACCTGGCTGCCTCTGAGCTCTCCTTGCCGAGCCAAGAGCAGCTGGTTCTCTTACCCACCGATGTTGTCCTTCCTCTTTTGCAGAGACTTTTATTCAGAGTTGAGCTACCAATTTATTATCTTCTGTAAGAACTGGCCAGAGGCCTCTAACTCCTTTCATTTATGAATATCCAACCCGAGGAAAAACGAATGACATCGCTTCAGAGATGATTTTCCAGAGCAGTCAGTCCAAAATCATCCTCAAAAAGCCACCCTTTCCAAAGGGTGATTGATACTCACTGATACTGACAACTTCATGTGTGGCTTCAACACGAGCCTTTACAGGTACACGAAACACTAGTGAGGTCAGGAGATACTTCAAGCATAACCCCTCTCATTTACCCCTCAGGTCTTTATCTTTTTCAAACTTTGACAGTCCCTTTCTTCTTTTATGAACTCAAAGCATTATTTACGGTGTATTGATGGGCTATGGTCTCCTTATTTCCAGGAATAATTATAACTGATTTGAAATCATAATCATTAAGTGTAATATCTTTGAATTTTTGTGAAGGTTGCTGAACATTTTGCAGTGCCTTTTGGGTCCTTTTTCAGACACCAGCAAGGACCCTTCTAGGAGCCACGAAGTTCACACAGCCTGGAGAGAGTGGGCTTACCTGGGCTAAGAAATGCACTCCATCCACTGGCAGATGAAATCCAATTCCCAAAGTTTTGATGATCACAAGGATATTGAGTAAATCTTCCCTGTGAAATAATCGGAATTCTAAAGTCATAAACTTTGGTTACATTTCTAGACTTTCATGTTTACATAAGCAAACGGAATGGAATTCTTTTAGAATGTGATCATTGGTACACAGGACGCAATTCTCATTTTACGGATTTGATGTATACTAGGTCTTTTTTGTGGGGAGAGTTCTACGTGTCACTGGGCACATTTTCATCTGTAGTAAATGTACATTTGGATGCTGACGGGTCAGCTTGTGATTGGACACAAAAGCATTTTGAAACATTTTAAACTGGACTTTAAGTATCAGTTTCTAAATTATAAGTCGCTCTTTAAATAAAATATTGATAAAGTTCAGTCACATCAAGAATAACTTTTTTTTTTAAACCTAGAATACCAATGACAGTTCTTGTTGCAGAAATTTACCTCTTCAAAACCTTATGAATAATTTGCAGGTGATTGGAATTAAGCCACTGAACACCACCAACGACCAACACAGTCTGGCTGGTATTCTCCAGGGGACGTGATCTGAAATCCAGAAAGAAATACAACACATGTTGCCTTGAAACAGATGGTAAACATTTTAGCAGCATTGCCTCACATTGCATTGAACCATATCTGGCAACCTGATCACAGGGACCTCCTTGTCATTTCCAACTCGTTTTCAGCCATATTACTTGGTATTTAAGCTTTTCAGCACATTTGATATAGAGTGAGCAATTATGACTGCTAGTAAAACATCAGTACCTTGTGGCATTGTTTCACTCAAAATAGTTCTATTGTACCTTTGCAAGAGATGTTCAAGTGCTTTTTCAAATGTCGGTCTCAATGAAGGGCTTATCCAGAACTGGGGATAGTAGGAGTAACTGATCAAAGTCTTCCCACCATTGACGTTGTGATAGAATTTAGTGCCATGCACCTTCTGCCATTCCTGCAACGTTTCATTCAATCTTTCGATCAGATAGTACATTATCCCTCTGTTGGTTGAATCTCCAATGAAAAGAATCTATAAGTTAAAAAAAATTTACTTTCAAATCTGATCCTTTCATGTAGAGGAGACAATATAAAATAAGTAATTTGTTGAAAACTCAAAAAGCTACAAATTGAATTAAAAGACAGCACTTTAAACTGTTAGAAATGACATTAGTCATATTCTCCCCC